CCCTGCCCAGCCCCACATCCCTCACGGCCCCAGCACCCCGCCTGGCCCCGGTATCCTGCTCTGCCCTGATATCCCCCTCTGCCCCAGCAACCCGCTCAGCCCTGGTGCCCCCCTTCACCCCAATATCCCCCTCCACCCCGGTACCCCCCCTGGCCCCACTCCCATGGGGGTGACACCACCGTACGTGGGTCCATACCTGCACCCACACCCCCAAAACCCCACCCCTGCTGCTCTGACCCCCCCTCCAAGATCTGCACCCCCAAGGCAGGCAGACCCGAGCTGAATGCCGCAGGGCTGCTCCAGCCCCAGCAGAGCACAGGACGTTGGAGAGGACAAGCCACCTGCAGCAAGGACACACTGTGACTGCTAAGGGTGCCAGAGACACACCACCCCAAACAGCCTCCCCCCTGCACAGGGACCGCCAGCGATGGCATCATGCACAGACTCCACCATATTTTGGTGATGCTCAGGGCAGTTTTTATTCCCAGCGAGTCACAGCTTCTCCAGCAGCTCAGGGAAAACCCTCATTCCCAAAGCGCATCTGCAAAAGCTGGGGATCAGGGCCCTTCCCAAGGCAAAACCACCTCCCATGGAAGCTAACAGTGGCACCTCCATGGCACGCTGGAGCTGTGGTGCCACCAGGTGAAGCCCAAACAGGCAGCGGCACTGGTGGGGATGGTGAAATCCAGCCCAGCAGCAGGCTCTGCAGCACAGGAGCCAAACCCCAGCAGTGCTCCCAACAGGAACGTGGCAGGCTGATGCCCACTCTCAGCCTGCCTTCTCCTATCAGCTGATGAAAAGCACACTCGGGCAAACAAGTGCTCCCCGTGTGCTCCAAGTGCTCCAGATAAGTGACTTAACCAAAAACAAGACACAGTATTTATAGCTGGGGCCTGATGTGGCTCTCTGAGATGTGAAGAGGAGCCCGGTCGCGACACCGAGCAGCGCAGGACGGAGCACACCATGATGCTCTCCCGCCTGCTTCCTGGCCGGGCCGTTGGACACCTTCCCAACCAGATACCACAGCCAAGGCTGCTTCATCAAGAGCTGGAGCAGCAGCCCGGGAAGAGGAATGCAGTTGAAGGCCGAAGGCAGCGCAGATGGGTTGGCAAGGGGATGACGTTCCAAACTCCGGCAGAGGGGAAAACGAGATAACCTCCGAGCAGGACGCTGGCCAAACCATCTCCAGCTGGACCAGTGACAGAGGTGAGTGCCCAGACTCCCACTTTGAGGAATTCTGGCCTGGGACTGGCACCTCAGTCTACACTGAAGCACTTCTCTCGCCCACCCGGGCACTTACAGCTCCCACTGATTAACATGCCCTAAATAAACTGCACTCCGTGCCACCTCTGTGTCTAAATACAGACAGTGTCACACTGCAGGCACCTCTTTAAAACCCACTGTTTGATTTTATGCATTTCTTGCCCAGGGGTGCTGGAGTGGGCTGAGCACCTCACGCTACGCGGGGAGTAAGCAGACACAGGAATTGTTGGGGGGAGTAAAGTTTCGGGTCAGTTTGCTTCAGTTCGGCGAGCAAAGACGTGGATGGAGGCACGTGAGAGGGGCCTGGGTGCCCAGAAACACAGACTGCACGTGACATCCCAGCTGACATCCAGCACCATCCAGACACAGACAGGTCTGAACCCCGACGTCTGGAGGGGACAGGACGCTTCGCTGTCCTCGGGGCCAGTGGAGATGTCCTCACGCCCTCGGCTGTGCCTCATTTCAGCAAGTGACTCAGCTGGTCCTGTAGGTTTGACGACTGCTCGACGCTGGGGACCAAGCAAGCAGAGGTTCATGGTGAGATCTGCACCCAAGGGACCAGCACAGCTCTAGTGCTGACATGACACCAACGAGAAACCCTGGGGTTCCCCAACCCACCACCACGTCCCCCACGAGGCAAACCTCACCTTGTGCACCCATAAGGAGACAGCTCTGCTCCCCACCACCCGCCTCTCCCGTCACAACCAACCTCACAGGCTCTATCACGTTAACCAAACAAATGGAAGTTTTGGTATAAACTATCCCTTCCCTCAAATTCCCATTTCTTCACAACACTGAAAAAACCACCTCGCTGGGCCAGCATCTGTTTCAAAGGCAGCTGCAAAAAACTTTTCACTCTGTTTTTCCCCCCTACTCCATCACTTTTCCCTTTCCATCACCTCCCACACATGTCCCCCAGCTCCTCCTGGCATTCCTTCAGCTGAGTACTCACTTCTTCTGAATTGCTTCTTGCCTAGATGAGAAAAGGAGACAAAAAGAGCATTAGAAAAACAAGACCTCAGCAACAGCATTCATGATATGTTGAAGAAAAGGGACTTGATCAAGGGCTCAGGAGGCTAAAACCCTGGTGTGTTTCTGGAATGAGTCCTGAGAGGACAGCAGCAGCAGTGGCTTCTCTCCCTGAGCCCCAGGTGTGTCACACGCTCTCACAGGAGACACAGTGCATGGTAAACAGGAGGCAATAAACCTCAGCTCCCACCCAAAACCAGCCTGAACTCCAGCAGAGCTGGAGAGGGCTGGAAGATCCCAGCTCCAGGCTCTGCTCAGCTTTGAGGAGCCGGGCAAGAAGGATCGGACTGAACGGGCTTCATGCAAAGTAGAAAGGAAAGGGATCGAGGGATCTACTCGGCTCCCCAGAGGTGCCCCCTACTTACTGGTACTGTAGATGAGTGGTTATTATGGCCATTTTCCTTAAACTCTGTGGAGAACAAGACAAAAAATGAATGTCTGATGGGAGCAGTTCTGCAGAATCACAGGGGAAGCTGTCCCAATGCCCCGGGGAGCTCCTCCAGCCCGGCCATCACTGTGCTGCCTCTGAGACACCCCCACCGCTATCTGTCGGCAGCAGCAGACTCCCCCCTTCTCTCCCAGTGACGGGCACAGACATTCAGTGCTTTGCTTCAATCTACAGTCCCTTGAGCTTTCTGGTACAGATGGCACAGCTTTAGGGTTGCTTTGTACTGCAGGAGGCCAGCAGCACACGAGGGTTTGGAGAAGCTCTAAATTACTCTGGCCACCAGCCCTCCTGCCTGAATTAATGTATTTCATTTCAGGGCTGCAGTACGCTTCCAAAATATCTGTTTTTATAACCCCCCCTCTCCTCCTGTCCACCAGAAACACTCTTGCTCTAGCAGGCAGGGACAGCTTACGTCTTCCGAGTGCAGGATGGCATCTTCTTGCATCACCATGTTTCTGGCAGCCTGGCCCAGGAGCTGAAAGGCAAAGGGGCCGACCAGAGTGAGAGGCAGGACCACAGAGACAGCAGCTCAGGGCTTCCCCAAGACGCTGGTGACAGCCACTCAGCAGATCACCACGCCAGGGGACCCCGGGTGACACTTGTGGGGAGGCTGGCGGTGCCGTGCCCACCCCTCAGACGTAGGGACACCCTTGGGACACCGCTGCAACCCCTCACCCTATAGAGAGGCCATGAGGAGAAGGCAGCCTCCCGCCTCCCACCACCTCCCCGGCGCTGCCAGAGCCACCCGCGGCCCAAAAGCCCTTCGATGGTTCCTCGCCGGCCCAGCCATGCCCCCGTCCCCGTCCCCTGCCCAATCCCAGCCATGTCCCCGTCCTCTGCCCAGTCCCATGGATGGCCCCCGTCCCCCCTTCCCCGACTACAGCTCCCAGCATGCCCCGCGCCGCCCCGCCGCTCGCCGCCCCGCAGCCGGGCCAGGCCCCAGGCCTGCCCCCCGGCGCTCACCTCGGCGCTGCGGGAGCCCTTCAGCACCTGCTTGGTGAGGGCGATCACGTCGGTGCCGCAGCTCGTCACCTTCTCGGTCAGGAGCCCCTTCACCGAGTGGCCGAAGCGCGCCTGGGCGTCCGCCGCGCCCCCCGCCGCCATCTTGGCTCCCCCATTCCCCCCCCTCCCCGCCTCGCCCCTGCGGGCGCCGCTACGGCGAGCGCCGGGGGACATAACACTGGGGAAAGCGCGGGGCCCGCGGCGGGGCTCTTGTCCCTCCATGGTCTTCCCCAGGACATCTCAGACTCGGGACATCACCCCGGGCACGGACACCCCGAGGGTGCCCAGCACTGACCAGTGCTTGCCCAGTGCTGACCAGTGCTTCTTATGGGCTGCCCAGTGCCCACCAGTGCTGATCAGAGCTTCTTAGGAGCTGCCCAGTGCCCACCAGTGCTGATCAGAGCTTCTTAGGAGCTGCCCAGTGCCCACCAGTGCTGATCAGAGCTTCTTAGGAGCTGCCCAGTGCCCACCAGTGCTGATCAGAGCTTCTTAGGAGCTGCCCAGTGCCCACCAGTGCTGATCAGAGCTTCTTAGGAGCTGCCCAGTGCCCACCAGTGCTGATCAGAGCTTCTTAGGAGCTGCCCAGTGCCCACCAGTGCTGATCAGAGCTTCTTAGGAGCTGCCCAGTGCCCACCAGTGCTGATCAGAGCTTCTTAGGAGCTGCCCAGTGCCCACCAGTGCTGATCAGAGCTTCTTAGGAGCTGCCCAGTGCCCACCAGTGCTGATCAGAGCTTCTTAGGAGCTGCCCAGTGCCCACCAGTGCTGATCAGAGCTTCTTAGGAGCTGCCCAGTGCCCACCAGTGCTGACCAGTGCTTCTTATGGGCTGCCCAGTGCCACCAGTGTTTATCAGAGTTTCCTATGGGCTTCCCAGTGCCCACCAGCGCTGATCAGGGCTTCTTAGGGGCTTCCCAGTGCCCACCAGCACCGATCAGGACTGCCCAGCACTGACTGGGGCTGTTGACCAGGGCTGACAAGGGCTCCTCAGCATTCCCAGTGCCGACCAGCTTGCCCAGCACTTCTAATTGATGAACGGGGCTTCACACCACCCCCACAGTGCTGCCCAGTGCCCCCACCTCTGTGCTGCCCATCCCCTCCCGGGCATGTGGAAGGGCTCCCAGGCTGGGGACAGACCCCAGTGCACTCACGACATCCAGGGGAAACCCCCCTCAGAGCTCAAGCTGCCCCCACACTCCTAGGAACAGAGCCCTGAGGCCGGATCTGGCCCTGGGCATCCCCTGGCCCACAGCCCGCTGGAAGCAGCTCCCCCATGGCCACCAGCTGTGGCCGTGGCCCCATTGCCCTCGCCCCCCGGCCAGGTGCCCAGCTGCAGAGCTGGCCCAGCGCCCGGTTCCCCCCTCCTTCCCATCTTGCTCGATAAGGAGCTCGGGGTCAAGGCGACGGCCCCCACAGCCGGTATAAACCCCCCTTCGGCGCTGCCAAGCCCCGCAGCCGGCCCCCACCATGCTGCTGCTGGCCACCCTGCTGCTGGCCCTGGCCCTGCTCTGCGCCTGGGGGCTGGCACACCGGCGAGCCACCACCTCGGGGACGGGGCGCCCGCGGAGCCTGCCAGCTCTGCCCTTGGTGGGGAGCCTCCTGCAGTTGGTCGGGCACCCCCAGCTCCACCTGCGGCTCTGGAGCCTGCAGAGCCGCTATGGCAGCCTCTACGCCCTCTGGATGGGCTCCCACTACGTGGTGGTGGTCAACAGCTACCGGCACGCCAGGGAGGTGCTGCTGAAGAAGGGGAAGGCTTTCGCCGGACGGCCCCGCACCGTGAGTAGGTTTCAGGGGGGACCTCCCCTCCCGCTGCGGCGTGGGGTGAATCCAGGGCGGGGGATGCTCCAGGAAAGGCACCGGTACCCAGCAGGGTCCATCTCCTCTGCCCCCACATCCCACCTGCAGCAAGGCAATGGCAGGGACAGCCCCTCTCTGCCCCCTTCCCCAGGGTGAATCCTGGGCATCCTCCATCCCGAGGGTGCCTGTTCTTCTCCAGGGCACCTTCTCCAGCTCCACCCCTAACCCCGGAGTCTGTCCCCACACCTCTCCGTTGCTCCTTGGGGCAGGGAAAGCAAAGCTCATGGCCCAGGTTTTGCCCCCCCAGCACTGACCACCAGCCCCCCTGGGCCACCCCTGGGATGAGATGATGAGATGAGATTGAGATGAGAATAGATGAGATGAGATGATGAGATGATGAGATGATCATCCACCCCCCAGCATTGCCCCTCTCCGACACACAGCCACCTTGGGGACACCCGGCAGCAGGGTGACCCAGGGGCTACCTGTCCCACAGGTGACCACGGACCTGCTGTCCCGGGGGGGCAAGGACATCGCCTTCGCCAGCTACGGGCCCCTCTGGAAGTTCCAGCGCAAGTTGGTGCACGCCGCTCTCTCCATGTTCGGGGAGGGCTCGCTCGCCCTCGAGAGGATCAGTAAGTGTCCCCCCGCGGCTCCCTCCCGGCTCTGGCTCCCTCCTGCACCTGGTCCGGGCTGGACTTTTCCTTTCTCCATGCCCCGATCCCCTGGGAACCAAGGGATGGACATTGGTTCAACCCACTCCCTCCCCCAGCATCCCCCCAGTTTGCCCAGTGGGGGCTTGGTCCCTCTCCTTCCATCCCCAGAACTTCACTGACTCCTCTCCCTGTACCATTTCTGCCCTGATCTTTGGCTCCCCTCACTTACATCTGGGGAAACTGAGGCACAAAGCCAGCTCCTGCCCCCCCCGGGGTCCCTGCTCCACCTGGAAGGAGCATCAAGCTGTGCATGGAGACTTCCTTCCATGTCCCTTCTGTCTGTCCCAGCCCCTCGGGGCCCAGCCCTGGCTGGGGGGTGCTCTCTGCAGGCTGCACACCCTGAATGAGTGAGGGACCCCTCCTTCCAGCCCCCGGCTGCCCCCTCCACCCCCTCAGCTTCACCATCACTGCACCTGGGGAGAAATAACCCCCTGCACCAGGACAGGTTGGGGCTGACCTGCTGGAGAGCAGCTCTGAGGAAAAAGACCTGGGAGTTCTGGTGGACAACAGGATGCCCATGAGCCGACAATGTGCCCTTGTGGCCAAGAAGGCCAAGGGCATCCTGGGGGGCATCAGGAAGAGTGTGACCAGCAGGTCAAGGGAGGTCATCCTGCCCCTCTGCTCTGCCCTGGGGAGGCCCCATCTGGAGCACTGGGACCAGTTCAGGGCTCCCCAGTTCCAGAAGGACAGGGAACTGCTGGAGAGGGGACAGCAGAAGGCTACAGAGATGATGAGGGGCCTGGAGCATCTCTCTGATGAGGAAAGGCTGAGGGACTTGGGGCTTTTGAGTCTGGAGAAGAGAAGGCTGAGGGGGGATCTGATCAACACCTATAAATACTTCAAGGGTGGGTGTCAGGAGGATGGGGCCAGTTTTTCTCAGTGGTGCCCAGGGACAGGACAAGAGGAAATGGGCACAAACTTGATTATGAGAAGTTCCATCTAAACATGAGGAGGAAGTTCTTTGCTGTGAGGGTGGCAGAGCCCTGGCAGAGGCTGCCCAGAGAGGTGGTGGAGTCTCCTTCTCTGGGGACATTCAAAACCCACCTGGACACGTTCCTGTGCAACCTGCTCTGGGTGGCCCTGCTTTGGCAGGGGCTTGGACTAGATGATCTCCAGAGGTCCCTTCCAACCCCATATCATTCTATGCTCACCCCCTCCCTGCCTCTCTCCTCTGCCCCAGTCTGCCGGGAGGCTGCGTCCCTGTGTGAGACGCTCAGCGCTGCGCAGGACATGGCCCTGGACATGGCCCCCGAGCTCACACGGGCTGTCACCAACGTGGTCTGCTCCCTCTGCTTCAACTCCTCGTACCGGCGTGGGGACCCCGAGTTCGAGGCCATGCTGGAGTACAGCCAGGGTATTGTGGACACCGTGGCCAAGGAGAGCTTGGTGGACATCTTCCCATGGCTCCAGGTGAGTGGGGACACAGGGAACGTCTGTTCCTCTCATCCCAGATGAGAGGAAGGAGCTGGGATGTGTCCTGCAGGAGGGGGCTACCTGAGCCCCTGTGGTTAGCAGGGTCCCTTCCCCGGTGTCCCACAAGATCCAGTGCCCTGGTGGGCACAGAACGAATGCCCAGAGGCCTGCAGAGCCTGGGCTGAGCTGGAACCCCTTGCTGTAATGAGGCTTTTCTTCCCCAGATCTTCCCCAACAAGGACCTGGCCCTCCTGAAGAGATGCCTCAAGGTCCGGGACCAGCTGCTCCAGCAGAAGTTCACTGAACACAAGGTGCCAATGGGGTCAGGACGAGGAGATGCTCTGGAGCTGTGGGTTGCCAGAGCTGGGGTGGAGGGGACTGCGCCCAGGACAGCCTGGCTCATGTGTGTCCCCTGGCAGGAAGCCTTCTGCGGGGACACCGTGAGGGACCTCATGGATGCTCTCCTGAAAGTGAGGTTCAATGCCGAGAACAGCAGCCCCCCGGCACCGGGACTGGAGCTGACTGACGACCACCTCCTCATGACGGTGGGGGACATCTTCGGAGCTGGTGTGGAGACCACCACAACTGTGCTCAAATGGGCTGTGGTCTACCTGCTCCACTATCCTGAGGTAGGGTCTGCACCCCGTGGTGGGGGGCCCTGAGCTCCCTCTGACACCAGGGACATTGTGTGTGGCTTTGGGGAATCATAGAATGATATGGGGTTGGAAGGGACCTCTGGAGATCATCTAGCCAACCCCCTGCCAAAGCAGGGCCACCCAGAGCAGGTTGCACAGGAACGTGTCCAGGTGGGGTCTGAATGTCTCCAGAGAAGGAGACTCCACCACCCCCCTGGGCAGCCTCTTCCAGGGCTCTGCCACCCTCACAGGAAAGAAGTTCCTCCTCATGTTTAGATGGAACTTCTTTTGTTCAAGTTTGTGCCTGTTCCCTTTTGTCCTGTCCCTGGGGACCAGTGAAAAAAGACTGGCCCCATCCTCCTGACACCCACCCTTGAAGTATTTATAGGTGTTGATCAGATCCCCCCTCAGTCTTCTGCAAGAGACCCAAGTCCCTCAGCCTTTCCTCATCAGAGAGATGTTCCAGGCCCCTCATCATCTCTGTAGCCCTCTGCTGTCCCCTCTCCAGCAGTTTTCTGTCCTTCCTGAACTGGGGAGCCCAGAACTGGTCCC